AACTTGGGTGGAAAAGAGTTTGTCTCACACTTCAAGGCAGAATGTTGAAAACGTGAAGGAATATTGTTTATGGGCTTGTTCCCAGGCTTGCTCAGCTTCCTTTCTTACACATCCAGGCACACCTGCCCAGGGAGACACCACTCACAGTGGGCTGGTCCTTCCTACATCAATCAAGAAAATGTCCCCACAGACATGCCCATAGACCAAAGTATGCTTTGTTGTTTTTGAGACAGTTTCTCTGTGTAGCCCTGGCTGCTCTGCAACTCACTTTATAAACCAGGCTGGACTCAAAGATCCGCCTGCCCCTGCCTCCTGAGTGCTGGGATTAAAGGTGTGCGCCGCCACCACCTAGTGATTCAACAGGTCAGTGTAATGGAAGCAGTTGCTCTGTTGAGGTTTCTCTTCCCAGGAGTGTCTAGGGTTGTGTTAATGAAACTGGCAGCTGTGTCTCCCTGAGTCCATGCGTTGGAACTTCATCTTCAGGGTCACACTTTTGTTGCATTTGGAGGTGGGAATTTGGGACAGTTAGTGTTAGAAGAGGTCCTGGGGGTAGGACTCTGTGACGACATCAGTGGCTGTTTTCGTGTGACGTGCATATGTGCATTGCATTCGTTTCTGCATGTAGAGGACACTGACAATCTCAGGTGTCATGTGCATGTGCACGCATGTGTTTCTGTATTCAGAGACACTGACAATCTCAGGTGTCATGTGCATGTGCACGCATGTGTTTCTGTATGCAGAGACACTGACAATCTCAGGTGTCATGTGCATGTGCACACATGTGTTTCTGCATGTAGAGGACACTGACAATCTCAGGTGTCATTCTTCAGGAATTGTCCACCTTTTCTTATCTTTTTTTTTTTTTTTTTTGGACAGGGTCTCACTATGTAGCTCTGGCTGTCCAGGAGCTCACTATATAGATGAATCTGGCCAAGAACTCATAGAGATCTACCAGCCTCTGCCTCTCAAGTGATGGGACTAAAGATGTGGGCCACCAGGGTTTTTTTTTTTAAGACTTATTTTTACGTTTATGGGTGCTTTATTTGCACGTGTGTCTATGCACCACATGTGTGCAGTACCTTCACATGAGTGAGGTCACAAGATGGCACCAGAGCCTCTAGAAATGGAGTTACAGATGACTGTACACTGTCATGTGGGTTCTGGGAATTGAACTTGGGTCTTCTGGAAGCGTGGCCAGTGATCTTAACCACCGAGTCATCTCTCCAGCCTCCATCTTGTTTTTTGAGCCAGGGTCTCTCACTGACAGGATACTTGTTAGGTAGTCTACGCTGGCCAGTTAGCTCCAAGGATTCACCTGTCTCTGCCTCCCATACACTGGGGTTGCAAGCCAATGGCCATTCCTGGCCTTTCACATGGGTTCTGTAGGTTAAACTCAGGTCCTCACACTCGACAGCAAGCATTTTAATGATAGAGCATCTCTCCAGCCCACGAGGAGCTTTAGAAAATGTGAATCAGCGGGACAGGAGAACTGGCTGAGTGGTTAAGATCACGCTCTTTTCCGGAGGACCCAAGTCCCATACCCAGTATCCCTCAGGTGTTCACAGCTGCCTGCTGCTCTAGGGGATCTGATGCCATCTTCTGACCCCCAGTGGCACATACTCACATGCGCAGAACCACACAAGTATGTATAATCAAAAATAAATCTTAAAAAAAAAAAAGAACAAAGACTTGAACTAGCAGTGTTCTCCTGTCTCACTGTGTGAAGAGCCATCCAGAAGGCAGACACCAGACATAACATCATGGTGTCAGATTTGCCAGACTGCCCCAACTAATAAACTGCTATCCTTGTCAATGACCTAGCTGCTTAGCCACAGATATGTGGCTATCATAACAAAAGAAGGATGAATAGAGTCCTCTGTGCTTGCTTCCAGGTGTGTGAGTTAAGAAAATAGTATCTCATTGAAAATACATTTGTAAATTTTGGAAATTAGTATTACAAATATAAATTGCTTCAAAAGGTCTAGATTTAGTTGTGTGTATGTGGGGGGTGTAAAATGATGCTGTGTTGTGGGAACCCTAAGAATGACATCTTTTGGCCACATTTAACTTGGTATCTGATTATCCCAGGTAGATGCCCTGAACAAAAATCCAATGTTGTTCACTGCTTCTGAGTTCAAGAATATGAAGAAGAAACGCCATCAACTGAACAACCTTGAACCCCTAGAGCTGGGATTGGGGTCAGCCCCCTTATCCTTGGAGCACCAACTCTGGAACGTTAAATAACTCCTCCCCACTCCCTCCCATAAATCATAATTTCTGTCCTCCACATGGCATTCCAGGGGCAGCCTTAAAGGCTGGAGAGGCAGCGATGAAGAAGACAAGGCCCCTTAGCGGCAAAGACTAAGGGCTCAAAGAGAGAGTCAGCTAATAGAACAGTAAGTCAAAGAGGTAAGGTCCTGGGCCACTGGTGATCTGTGCCACTGCAGGCATTAAAGGACGAAGGGGACAGCACTGGAGCTGAGTGACAGAAGTGTCTGAGAGGAAGCAGTCCTCCAGGGACCTGGTGGTGCCCAGACCCAAGGCCAGGAAGCCAGCCAGTCACCCAGAGGGTTCCCAGAATGTCCAACTCTATCCTCCATTTCTCCCCAGTTTCAGATACTTGTTTTCAGCAGAGCAGTCTTGTATTTGCTGGGAAAGAGGCTGGAGAGGTGTGCATAAGCATCTAAACATCCAGGTGGGCTGTGGTGGCACACGCCTTTAATCCCAGCACTAGGGAGCCAGAGGCAGGTGGATCTCCGAGTTAAAGGCCAGTCTGGTCTACAGAGTGAGTTCCAGGACAGCCAGGGCCACACAGAGAAAACATGTCCAAAAAAAAAAAAAGTCCAAACATCCAAACTGCTTTACAAGTAGAAGTGACTTCCCTAACCTGGAATTCCAGGGTCAGCTCCATCTGCAAATACTCTGGGTCTCAGCGAGCAATCCCCTGCAAGCAACAGGAACTACTCAAGCTGACCTTTTGAGAAGGGGTACCCTGGGGTGGGCCAGGCTGCGTGTCTATAGAGTGCTCCTGGGCATACTAATCCCCGCCTGCTGTGGCCACCGGAACTGACTCTGTGGACTTTGTCAGTGTCCTGGCAAGGGTATTGCTTGCTCAGGGGACCTGTCAGTAGGACAGTGGCTCCTGCTGGTCAGCTTCAGGGTGCTTCTGCCAGGGCTGACTGAGACCCTCCCGCCAACTCTGCCTTTCTTTAGAGCTGTTAAGCCTTCGCCGTCCAGGCACTCTGGGTGGGGGCCTAGGCTCTGTGGCTGGCTCTCCCACCATAGAGCATCCAGAGGCTTCACGTTGTAAATGCCAAGGCTCCTGTCATGTGGGGGCCCAGCAGGTGCCTGGCCTTCTATTTCCTGACCCTGTTCCTTGCCATCTGGCAAGGGCCAGCTCTGCAGTGACCTCCCTAGATCGAGACCTCTAAAAGCTCCAAGATTTCAGCACGGCCAATAAAGGTCCTGAGCCCAGCCCAGTTTCACTAATGATCATGGTCGACCTAGGCCTCACAGGGGCCACAGAAGAGCAGCAGCTGATGTTAGGGACTCGGAGGAACAGCCTAGCACTGGGGTACTCAAGGCTGTGCTGTGCTCATGTATCTTCCATGCCCAGCTGGAATCCCAGCCCACTCCCTTAGAAGGCAATGCCCACACCACCAGCCTGGCATTCAGTAGGGAATAAATGGAACCACTGGCATCTGGGAAGGTTAGAGCCTTACAGAGTTGGGAAGTTGGGTGAGCCTGGAGGGTCATGTGCTAGTTTGGGGTGGAAAAGACAGGGTCACTTGGGACCAAGGGATGCTGAGGTTTAGTTGGACTCGAAATCTGAGCATCACATCCCTGAAAGCCAATCTAGGGCCATAGGTGCCCATCGGAGATAGATGGTGCCCCACGTATGCTCACCTCCTCAGCAATCAGTTTCAGTGTCTCTGGCATGCATCTGGAGCCAAGCCCTACAGAAGTCTTTGGGAGAAAACGTTCAGTAAGAAACTAGGGAAAAAATCAAAACAAAGATCAAAAGAATTGTTAGCTGTATCAGCAAAACGGGAATACAGCATGATGGACCTGATGCCACAGGTGACTGACTGCACTTGGAGCGAAAGGGCAGGAAGTAGACCTGGGCGTGTCAAGACCTGCTTCCCCTGTGGCTGGTCAAGGCTATGCCCACTGCCCACTCCCGAGATGGTCTGTGGAGTGAGGATACAGGTCACAATTCTGAGTACCCTGCAGGAGTTTTTGTTTTGACGAACTACACCCTCCCAATTACTCCTCACTGAGCCTGTTTCCCGTCGGTGGAAGGACAAACGTCAGGTCTACCACTCAAGATCAAAGAGGAAGCAATAGGAGGTAAGTTGGTAGTAGCTGGACTTTAGGACCACGTCCCCCGCTGAGCTACCTTCTAGAAAACGCCTACTGTGCCAGGGTATGTGCACGGGCGCAGGGTGGCGGTGGTGTTTGCCGGGGAACCAAGGCAGGCTGGGGTTCTGGAATCGCCTCAGCTGCCTGCCCGGTCTGATGCGTCTGCGGATCGGCATGCTTTCTTCTCTTCCACCGCCTGAACATTTTCATACGTTTCCCTAACACCCTCCACCTCACTCTGGGGTGCTTGCTTCTGTATGCGTGTGGCAATCTCAGACGTCTCCTTGCAGGTCCCAATCACCAGCTTTACTAATTTAAAGTCTGAGTTTTAGACAGAGTAGTGTGCAAGGGGCTCTGGCTCCAGCCCGGACCAGTTGAAAAGTCACTTAACCAGTTCGTGCCTCAACTTCCCTGTGTGTAAACTAGGACCCACAATGCTCTCTATCTCCGGGGATTACCCTGAGGAGTAAATAAGGTAGTGCACCAGCTCGCTTCGCTGGGAATGATGTCTGGTTGGGGACGAAGATGTGACCCTCGTTATTGTTGCGTGACACCCCTTATCCGACTGCAAGATCCAAGGGGTGGGGCTTCGCCATAACCCAGGCGTGGGTGCAAGCCACTCCGGATCTTCCGCCCTAAGCTCCCTGAGGACCAAACCTCCTTCCTCGCGCCGGTGGAGCCCGAGGAGGGTGAAGAGTGGCCGTGTCGCGGAAAAGCTGGCACTCAGTAGGTGCTCAAGGAGCAGCCAGTGTCAACACGGGTGACCCAATGCAACTCCTTCCCGCCTCCCGCGTGGTAACGCTCCGGTGGCCCACATGGTCTTGAAGGGTGTTTCTGCTCCCAACGACACCCATCCCCACAACAAAGAAACTCGCCATCCCCGGCCGCCTCCCCTCGGTGCACCCCAGAGGCACAGCGGGCCCGGAGCGCCGCACGCCGGTAGCTGTCCCCCGAAATCGCGGCTCGGGAGCTGTCCCTGGTAGGTGCAGGTGCGCGCGGGACGGGGGCGGGAGCCGACCCCGAGGGGCAGCGAGCGGCCGGCGAACTAGGTGGCGCCCGCCGGGCGCGCGGCGACACCGCCTCCACCGAGATTTAAAGGGCAGCCGGGCGGAGGGATCTTCGAACGACTCTCGCTGCGATCCCTCCGCCTCAAGGCGCAGCGACGGCCAACGACGCGGCTCCTTCTCGGAAAATCGCTCCTGTGCCTCCGCCGTCGGGTGCTGCGGAGCGGAACTCCATTCTCTCTGGCGTCTCTCCGCCTCCTCCCTCACAATTCCGTCGAAGCCATCGCGGTGACTGGCGTGGGGCAAAGGAGCGCGTACGCTCGTAGCCTGCGTGGTGTCCCTCCGCCGTCATCCGTGGACTTCTTTTCGTGTCCTTCCACCAAGCCCGGGCGGTGTCCGGGTGGCTCACCGGGGGCGGCGACGCGTCTGCGGCGCGGCAGCGAGACTCGGGGGCTATGAGGTGAGGACACCCGGGGACCGGAGGCGGCACCCGGCGCTGTGCGAGAACGCAGGACGCGAAGCCCCGAAGCCGGCGGATGCCTCCCAGACCCCGCGGCTGCGCGCGAGGCGGAGGTGAGGCCCGAGGTCTGTGAGGTCGTAGTGGCCCAGCGCTGCGAGTCAGGGCTCGGGGACCGGGGCTGGGCGCGGGCCGCGGTGACGGCCGCGGCGGCGGGGTTGGGGGGGCGCTCGGCGGCCGCGGACTCCTTTCTCTCGCCCCCCCCCCCGCCCGTCAGCGGAGGCAGCGGGCGGTGCTACGTCCATGACGCCATATTGGATTCTACTCTCCAGTTTTTTTCTAAGGAAATATTTTTTTGGTGATTAATTTTCTGGAGGGACGGGAAAGTGTGGCCGGGTGCTTCGGGAGTCCGGTTTGGGGGTCTTGGATGGGCCCGGTACCGGAAGGCGGGCAGTGCTGGCGGTGAGCCGCGGAGGGCGTGCGTGCGTGCGTGCTTGCGGGAACCGGGCCGCGCGCGGGGCGGGGCTGCGGGGCCGGGGCAGCTGGGCGAGCGAGCGGGCGAGTGAGCGCGGCCTGCAGTTGTGGCCGCGGCCGGAAGGGAGCGGTAGCGGTCGTCGGGGGCTGGGTCGCGGCCGCACGAGGGGAGCTGCTCGGCCGCTCGGGATTGGGGGACTGTGTTTTGCCTCTTCTCCAATGGGCGGCCGCGAAGCTTCTCGCCCAATCTGCTCGCGCTGGCGCGCCGAACTTTCGGTTGTTTTTGTTTTGGCCCGAGCCTCGTTTCCTGTCGCTCCAGGCTCAGCCTGTCGCCCTCCCCTCGGTGCTGTCCCGCGGCGTCTCGGGGCCCGGCTCGGAGGCGCTGTCGTCACCCGGTCGGTCGTCCCGATCGTCCGACCTGGGGGTGCGAGAGGGAGACGAGAAGTTCGTTTTGAAGAACTTTCTGACGGAGTTCACTCTGAGAGACTCTTCTCTCCAGGGGAGCGGGCAAGATGAACTGCCTGGATTGGTGAAGATTTTTTTTTTTTAACCTGCCTTCTAGACTTAAAACCGTGTGCCACAATGGCCTGATGGGTTGGAAGTCTGCTGAGCGGACGGATCTCTTAGAAGTCGCTTCCCCTGCAACTTTTACCCGTTCCGTTTTTGTTTTTTTGTTTTTAATCGACAGTAACGCCCGTCGATTTGTGTGTGAAGTCCATGCCTGAAGAGTGAATTGCCAAATTCACACCCTTACTGTGTAGATGCAGGTTTGACCGAGCCCCTCACTAGGAGCGCCCTGTGGTCCGGCGTTAAAGTTAGAGTGGAGAAAGCCCAGGTAGTGTTTGAGTCTACACCCTCTCCCAGGCTCACCTGCGCTAGTTTCCCAGCCCCTCTTGTCTCAGCACATACCTATCTTCAGAAAAGGCTCAGGAGAATGTGGCCCGCTGGAGCAAGCTTTCTGGCTGGCCCCCACAGAAAGCACCTCACGAAAGAGATAGTTTGTTAATCTCCAACTTGTCAGACTGGTTGGTAGTTTTTCAAAATGTATCTAGTTAGCGCCATTTAAAGTATTCCTTAAATTGTCTTTAAGGAAACAGAAACAAGGGCTGGAGAGATGGCTCAGTGGTTAAGAGCATTGCCTGCTCTTCCAAAGGTCCTGAGTTCAATTCCCAGCAACCACATGGTGGCTCACAACCATCTGTAAAGAGGTCTGGTGCCCTCTTCTGGCCTTCAGGCATACAGACAGAATATTGTATACATAATAAATAAATATTTAAAAAAAAAAAAAAAAAAGGAAACAGAAACAAAACCCTTAGCTTCAGAGTATTTATACTCCAAGAGAATAGGCCTCCACCCTTTCTCAGCGATTGAAACCAAACTCTTTCAAAAACCGTTTCCAAGGATTCTTTCCTTTCTCTCCCAAGTGCTCCCTAAAACGTGTTTGACTCACTGACGATACTGGGCTGCTACTCTGAGCTCTCCACATTTGTAGGACCATGTCCGGGAAGGCTGGGTGGCAGAACTATATGCAGATGAGAGGGGTGTGCCCTGGGAGTTTGTGTGGTTGAGTAGGGGTTTTATAAGTGGGGGGGGGGGGGGGCAGTCCCTTTAGGTCTTCCTCTGATGTGAGTTCAGAAATGATTTTCTTTTCCATAGGTGTCAGCTTGTAGGTTTATAGGGCCAGCTGTGTGGCTGGGTTGTACAACAGATTGTGTATAGTGTCTGAGCAGCTCCCTGTCTTTAGTACTTTTCCAGTGGCTTGCAGAGCAAATCCTCTTAGATAGATCAGCATGGTTCCATTCCTTTGTGCTTTGCTGTCACCTGTGAACTTTACCTTCTCTCCATTCACCAAAATCCTTCTCTGCTCAGAAGGTCTAGGACTTCGTTAGCTCTAGAGCATTCTTTTCTTGTAAAACAAGGGACCATGTGTCATCCCTCTATGGGGTGACATTATTGGCTACCTAGCATATATTGAGTAACTAGGCAGAGACAGCATGGAGTGGTTGTAGCTCGGGTAGAGCCAGCTCTGTTCACCAGAGACTAGCTTTATGTGTATGGTGTAACCTTTTACTTTTTCTGCCTTGTTTTTAGTTACCTCTTTGTTTTGGGAGTGGACAAAACACCTGTTTTACTGGCATATTAGTGGAGAAAGTGGATTTAGCTGTGGTAAGACTCATAAATCAAAGTTACTGCAAGGTCCTGACTTGCTCACTAGGAATCCTTGTTTGTACAATAAATTTATGGAATTCAGCCATTCAAACCTGCTAAGTTTGGGATGTGGAGAGATGGCTCAGTGGTTATGAGTACTTGTTACACTTGCAAAGGATTCAAGTTCAGTTCTCAGAACCCACACCGTGGCTCCTAACCATCTGTAACTCCAGTTCTAAGGGATTGGATGCCCTCTTTGATCATTACCTTTAAATAGGCTCATGAAGAGTGAAGATAGTGTCTGTACTCAGTGAGTCTCTTAGTTACATTTTACTTTGCCATTCTCTTCCCATGATGCTCAAGGACAGCCAAACCTGTTAGCATCTGCTGTCTCAGGCCCTGAGTTGGGGCTAGCTGGTGTGGGAATGGGACATGCACAGATATCTTGCAGCTCTCTAAGATTGTTAGTAAAATATCATTTAGGGACTAGTCAGAGTACTGTGTAGACTCTGCTGTCACTGTATTTATGGTACAGATAGGGCCAGGTCTTTCTATAGAATGACTAGACATTCTCACTGAAACTGCTTCTAGTCCTAAATTCTACTAAGGATGAATTCTAAATCCATCTTTCCATATCTTCCCATTTCTAAGAACCTCCTCAATCATATTTAACATCTCTGGTTGGTTTACTTAGCTCATCTGTAGACTTCATTTAGTCTTAGATCTTTTGAAGTGTCACAAGACACTTGGCAGTTCAGGTGGCTTTTCAAATTAAGATACTAGCATTCATCAGTGGTCCGAAAATCTTGATATTTAAGCCCCATATGGCTCCTACTGGCCATTACATCTTCGCAGCATCTCTTCATTTGTGTGTAGTAGGGCACACTAACCAAGTAAATAGACCCAGCTTCTGTAGGGTTCGCATGTGGTTCTTCAGCCTGAGCTGAATTTCGATAAGAGTTTGAGACCCAGCATTGCCACCTAAGAACAGCTTTATTTGAACAGCAAAATTCACTCCTGAGCCTTTCTTGTTTGTGATGCGAATACCTGCAGAGTAGGATAGCTGAACCGAGAGTCCTCAGTCACACATACTAGTGTGAACACTTGGTACAGGTAACTGTGTGCACCTGTGTGTGGATCTGTATGTGCATGTGAGTACAGGTGGTCATGGAGTCCAAAAGAAGATCCACTGAAGCGAGAGTTACAGGAGGCTGTGAGCTGCCTGATGTAGTTGCGAGATACTTAACTCAGGTCCTCTGAAAGAGAAGCAAGTGTTCTTAACCACTGAGCCTTCATCTTTTCAACCTTTGGAGTTGTGGCTCTGCGTGTTTTTTTCTTAAAGTGGAAGCTCTCGGGGGCCCTCTAGTGTTCCATGGCCACAACAGCTATTCCAGCACCACGAACAGTGCCTGAAAGCTCCCAGCAGGCTTTTGCAATGTTTGTGAAAGTGAATGGATTCCAGATCTGCAGAATGAATCATTTCTTCTGATCTATAGGACTAGATGAATTATCTGGTGTGTCTTAATGACTCAGTGATCTCTGAAAAGTATTTTTGTTTTCAAGGCGATGCTTATGTTGCATCGTGGGAAGTATGTAGAAGCATAGCCCACACACTAAGAAGAAAGGGTCCTTGACCCTTTAGCCAGTGAACTAGTGGAGTCTGGGGATAGAGAGGCCATAGGAGACCTTTCCCCTTCAAGAAAGAAGCAGAAGCAGGCTTCACTCAGGGTCCTAGAAAGTTCAGGCAAAGTTAGATGGCTCTTAACTTGTTTGGTGGATAGAAGTAAATAGCCAGAGTGCTTTTCTTTCTCACACCATGAGCCTTTTTATTTTTCCCAATTAAAGTCTCTTAGTGTAGCTTTTGATTTCCTCAAATCTTTGTAGTTCTTACCAGATTGTGCTTATTTAGATGCCTGCATATGGAGTCATTTCTTCCCACACTGGACTCAACTCCATGAATGCAGAAGACATTACCATTCTGTTCTAGAATCTTCACAGTTAGGGCAAATATATCCAAGATCTGTTTTCATTGAGGCTGTATTGCTTCTTAGTATAATGCTAAGAGCATACAGTTTTTCAATCTGACCTTGGTTTCATCTTGTCTAGTTCTCCTGGCCTTGTTCTCTTTAGTACATTGGGGATGACAGTGGTAGCATTGTGCATGTGTTACGGGGCTGCATGTGGACACACGATGGTGTGCCGCCCAGTTCTTGGCACAGCTCTTGAGTGAAGCCGTGCTCTGGAGTGCCCAGAATACTAGTTAGGAGACTGCTTCTGTTGTGTCAGGGCAGCCACGTGAGGTTTTCACTTTCATCTGAGCTAATGGCTGCATTGTGGACATTGGATAGATACTCAGCCACACAGTCCTCGTTCACTCACTGTAGGTGGGGTGCTACTTTGTAAGACATGGCTCTCTTGCATAGTGCCCATGTGTCTTGTCATCCTTGTTCCCTTCCTTGTCATTGAACTTCCTGTGGTAAGCCTAGACTATTTTTGTTTTGTTGTG